ACAATAAATGAAGGTGTTAAGCCATTTAGGTTGCGTTTTAAACACTGATGTGACGTGACAACACATACAATCCAATTCAACCCTCCCAGACAAAATACCCATTAATGCAACATTTTTTTTGCTATTTCCATTTTGTATGTATTCAAAGAAGATAAGAACTCTTTGATTGGACATGTATGCTCACTTGTAGATCAAAACCAAGTAAAAGTGTAACCTTCATAGACAAACTTTTCTTGGGCTCTATAAATCAGGAGTCTGGGCCTCATGATGAAGCTACTTGAAGTGACACCAGCTCCTGAAGCCACTGCTGTAATAGCCAAAATAGCCTATGCAATCTGAATACACAAATTAGAGATTTCATTCATCCAAATGCCTGATTTTTGATACGTCACATTTATTTTAAAAAACAAGCCCAACAATTTTCTCAAGTCAATTAACAGAAGCAGAAGAACATTCCCAAGAATCTGACACCCTGACACAACTTCCTATCAGGCAGCTGCACTGGCTCAGACTGCAGAATCCCTACGGCTCACTGGCAAGAATCCCAGTGACATGGGGATCTTGGTGGGAGGCAGGCATTTGTAACATCAGAAGGAGTATTAAGCTACTCCCACTTTTGATCAGTTCAGCACTATATGATGTCAAACCGCCATCTGTAATCAGAAGTCATAAATGTCTGCACACTAGTATCTTCAAAGTGGGATGCATATTTAAAAGACATCAGCTTTCTGACTACTTTTAAATTCAAGTTTAAAAACTACAAGGTTACCTGATGCTTCTATTTCATTCTGACTGCAAGAGAAATCATCCAAACAAAGGTCAACCAGAAGGAGATGACCGACATCTGTAGCCACTGCTGCCACTCCAAAGAGCCACCGCAGACCCGGATGTAGGTGCCGAGTGCTCACACTGGCTCCTCCGTGATTAGTTATGGGTTCTATAGCAGTTACCTACAGGAAAACTACAAGTCAGTATTCAAAAGAATTATAAGCTTAGAAGTACCTATAGGAATTTACACAACTTTATTAGTATTGTTCCAGATTTCCTATAAATCAAATTAAATTTCCAATCTTTTCTGCTATTCCAAGGACTATGAAAAGGACTATTTTGATTACTCAAATTCTTGCTGCTCCAGGTCTTGATTACTGTTATGAGGAAAGCAGAAATACTGGAAATGTCTTGCTGCAGAATTAGTCAACATTCAAGTGTTGCTTCTAATTTCTCTTTCTTTTAAGATTTTTTTTTTTGGGGGGGGGGTGTTTGGTTTTTGGGGTGGGTTTTTTTTTGTTTGTTTGTTTTTACAACTGGCTCCAAATTAACCTTTTCCATTTTTGCATACAGTCTTCCAAAACCATCTCCCAGTTTCAACACTTCAATCTGCCACGTAGGAGCTCCCGGAACTGCCTATTTTTCCACTGTGCTATGCACTGGCTTTCCCTATGCTCCTATGCTACTACCAGCTCATTCTGGGAATGAACAAAGAAAACTTTTCTCAGCTCACTGAATCTGAATGCTACCCTTCTGCTGCATACAAACCAGGAACATTTCTGAAAATACCGTTCAGCAGTTCTGAAATATACAACTATCATAAATCCATTTAATATAACTTATGTTTTAAATTCAGATTGGCTTTTATAAGAATCCAATTCAAATAATGCTCCATCAGCATCTTCAGTTTTTTGTTGCACTTCACGTGCAGATGCAGAGGGCAATCAGAGATGCTCATACACACAAAAAAATTATGCCAAAATTCCTTCTAAGCTTGTGAGTTTGGTTTTTTTTTAAAAAAAAAAACATTCCTTTACTCTCTGAACACATCTACTCTTGCACTAAAAGGCAATCATACGGTCCCTATAAATATCCTGTATTAACACACTAATGGCTTGACACCTCGGACCAGAGTTACCCTAAGTTAGTGTTAACCTGTACAACTTTGTTGTCCACAGAACATATAGAAAAGAAAAATAGTCCAGAAATTAAGGTGCTCATTAAAGCCTTAAAATGGTAACAACAATAAAGCCTGAAAACTTGGTTTAGTACCAGTAAACTCAAAAGATAATGGAGTTTAGTCCAAGATTTTACATCAAGGCTCTCTTGACTGGATACTCTGAAGTGACAGTATGTTAATGCAACACAGAAAAAATACCTCCTACAAAGAGACGCTCCAAAGCTTTTCCTGAAACAGGATTATGCAGCACCTAACAACGCAACAGCTTTGTTTCTCCAACTAAAAAGTACATACCCTTCCTGGAAGAACAACTGCTTTAACCACTCTTGATATTCCCAGGTCATACAGACAGAGAACACTTCCCTCTGCTTCTTCCAACCCAACCAGCAATCCAGTTCTCTTCTGCCAGGAAAACTCCTTTACCACACGAACGGTGGGAGGCTGTTCATTTACTCCACTGAAACGGTACGCAGAGAGCCGCTCTCCTGTCACAGAGTTCACCACCTCAAGCTGACGACCACACGCCAACCACGCTAGGCCGTTTCTCCCTGTAAGAGAAAAGAAAGCTGACTAGAGCAAATGTCCAATAGGAGACTGAAAACAACTGAAAAATCCCAGTCATTGCCTCTTTCCTTCAATAAAAGTACCTAATAGAGGAAGATCGACTTACCCAATTGTGGTCAAAAATTCTTTAAAATCACCCATTGATTTTAATCCTCAAGCAACACATCCTAAAATTAACAACCTTATTCTTTTGCATTTCTGCTTCTCATTCCTGCACTGAAGAATTCTGATTGTTTGGAATAAAGATTACAATATATTGATCTATAGCCTTTAGACCATATCCAGCTTGGTTTTGCTAGAAATCATCTAAATACATAGGGGCATACAGGTCTTAAAGCACACTTCAAATATAACAAACCTAAGTGACTTCATTTCTAGTTTATTAATTTTACTTGACAAGTGACTACTTTGGGCAAGGATCTGGAGTTCAGCAAGAAATTGCCTTAACATGGGCACTGCACAAGTAAATTTAAATTTTTACACCTGCTGATCACAGAGAGAATTTAAGACATTTTGTTTCACTGAATCACTTCAAGCTCTAAGGAAGTAGTAACTCAATTACTGCATTTACAGTCGGGCACACAGATTCTGTCTGGTTTTAACAGAAGCCCAGCCACCCAGATGGGCACCCAGCTCTACTGTCAGGACACCTAGAAAGTCAACCACATCACGTGCTTAGTCACTTTCAGCAACTCCCACTGGGTACTCATCTGCATCCTACCAAATACTTCAGTGCTTAACAGTCCTTTCCTCTTCCTTCTGGTTTTATTCAGACTAGAACAGAAAAGACAGGGTTTCTGCCTCTGTAACACCCTATAGAGAAGAACTATTTCTGCATGTGATCTTATGATGGTCATAGAGCTTGAGCTGCTGCAAATAAATACGGCCCAAAACAACACTATTGCTTTTTTGAGAACTTGGTTTTATTTAATCAAAAAATGAGGAGGGCTCAGTATGTTTAAGTAAATTATTTTAATAGCACAAGATTGGTGCAGGTGGTTGTAATTTCAAGGTTTAACTATAGTAATGTTTTAATATTAGCATTTTTAATCCTTAAAACGTCTTTTTTTCTCTCTCAAAACCCAATGTATCTTAACAGCACCACCCTGACTCAGTTGATAACTGTGGCCCAGTGCTTCAGGGAACCTCCAGGCAATCATTACTTTATACCAAAACCAAATTTGAAGGACAATGCTCACCTCCAGAAAACTTCCCGCACAGCACAGAATCCAGGGTTATCTCATCTTCCCCAAGTGCCTGAATAGTCACCTCTGGAAACTGCAGCAGACTGCTCGTTACCTGAGCTGTTAGGTCTCGCATTCTTCACTGTAGAGAAAAAAAAATATGCAAAAATAGACTCATGTCAGCCCTAAGTATTTTTGAAATTGACAGAAGTTTCATCAGTATGCAGCAAAAAATCTCCTATACATCACCTGTAGGCCTTTTCCTTGAAAAAACGGCACTCAGGACAGTTTTTGATCTCACAGCAAAGCAAAAGGAGAATCCTTTGCTTTTCTGATGCCTATGAGATCACCAACAAAAAGTGACACAGAGGTATTGACAGGAGAGAAATATAGCAGGGAGAAAATCAATACACTGAATACAAGTCTACTCACATAGGTTAGTAAGATGTGATGTCAGAAAAATAGTATTTTAAAAAGCTTCTCAGTATGAGGTTTCAGTTTCCATTTGTCCTTTCCCTTGTTTCTATACTTTTTTGCCAATTGCCTTCTAGCAGATTTCACGCATCGTTTATGTCTTGTTCGTTTTCTGCATGTTTCTTTTCAGCGTTAATGAATACTAAGTTCTTAACTACCTTCACTCTCAAATTCTTCCAGAAAACGTGCTGTTGATATTGTCACATTACAAACAACACAGACTTTCATAGCTCATCAATTAGAAAGTGGTTTTCCATACTTGTAACATAAACATAACACAGCACTTTGAAGAACTGGGTTTTTTTACTTAAGTCTTCATATTCCTAACTCCTGTCCCTTCCTCCCTATTGCCTGTCCTTATCACATCTCTGCAGTATTTCACAAAAATTTCTAGGCCTTTCAGACAGTTCCCACATTTCTGTAGGTGCTCCACAAAGAGTTCACATTTCTGTGTGTCAAGACAGATATTTTTTTGTGAAAAAGCTTAAAAGTGTAAGTGATTCGCAAGATTAAATAGGTGGCTAAATAAAGAGATACTCCACAGACATGGAAATACAAACTACTTTAAATAACTATGTTTTCCAAGTTCTGTGGGGTACACAAAAAGCCTCCGGAAAACAAGACAGATTTAATTATCTTCTCCAAATAGCACTGCTTTCATCATGAAGTCTCAAAAGACAGATATCAAATGTAGTTCACTATTCCTGGGTGTTACAGACGCTGACCAACTCAGGCTTCAAACAGAACCCTCATCCCAGGTACAGACCAGTACTGCCAGCCACGTAAATGTGCACACAAATCCTACTGCATTAACTGTACCATACATATTCTCCTGCAAACAAAGTTTTTAGGATTGTTTCTTCCAGCATGCACTACGAACCTGTTTTCCTTACAGCACAGGAGGTTATAGCTAGTTTTGAAGACTAGACTCTGGGAGCAACACAAAGTTATTAAAGGGAAATATTTATATAGGGCTGGAGC